CGTACTAAAGTTGTACTAGAAAGTCGCCAGTTCTCAGCTTCCAGCTCCACAGATACTCCGCGTACTAAAGTTGTACTACAAAGTCGCCAGTAAAGGTGCACAAAGTGACCTACTTAAGGCCTAGATAAGTTAGTTAATAAGTTAACATAAGTAGGTTTGCCTAATTCTTGGAAATTTATGTTTAAGTAGGACAAGTAACTTATTTCTACTTATTTCTACTTATTTTTACTTATCCTAGTTGTATTTTCCTTGTGAATTTTAATGTTTGCAGTGTCTTTCCAGAAGTTTTGCGTAAATTTGCAAGGTTTTTGAAAAATCGATGTACATGTGGTTATTTGCAGGTTTATTGGCTTTTTTATATTGTATTTCGCAATGTGAACGAGTTTGATGATATTTTTGTATTTTTCGTGTCGGCTGTTTTGTTTTTGTATTCTTCCTGAATGTGTGCTATATTTACAACTTGACCAAGCAACAGCTGAATATGTTCCAAGCTATACAAACGTAAATTCACGCCAAGGAAAAATGAAAGACATGTCAGAAGTGTTGGCTTTTTTGAACAAGGGTATAGCTGCAATGGATCCTGTGGCGCCGCTTTTGCGACAGACGCCTATGCTATCGATGGAAGATCTATTTGCTATCGATGTGCTATCTATGCTATCTATGGAATATCTATGCTATCTATGGAATATCTATGCTATCGAAAGAATATCTATAGAATATCTATTGAACATCTTTAGACTATCTTTCAACTTTTCATAGTATATACGTTGATTTCCCATCAACTTTGTTCCTTCTCGCGTGAACCCAAATGTTGACTGATAATTCTCAGATCCTCGGGGCTATAGCCGGGCTGTTCGCTTAGCGACATTCGCCACCAAGACCACATGGCGGCGGAGAACCCTGAACTACAAACTGTGCCAAGCACGTTGATTGCTGTTCAGCGGTGTGCCCGCTCGATATAAGCAAACACTGTTGAAAAAACATTGAAAAAACAAACTTTTAAAATAAATGCAAATCAATCCAAAGTGAACTGTCTTGAGCAACTTAGTGCCATCATCCCTTCCAAACAGGCTCTTTGTCAATTTGAAAAACAAAAAACAAGGTCTACAGCACGACCTACTTATTTCTACTTATTTCTACTTATAAGTTACTTATAAGTTACTTATATCTACTTATGTTATGATTGCATTTTTAATTTACGAACAAGTTAACATAAGTAGACCGTAACTAGGTTAAGTTACTTTAAGTAAATTTAAGTAGTACAAGTTAATAGGGTCCAGAAGGTATGCAAAACCCCCCGAAAGGTCACTCTGGGTTCACCACCTCCCGACTCCCAGATGCCGATGAGCTCTTCAAGGACCCCTGGCTCGGCTTGGAAGTAGTCGTAGTGACTTCATCTTCTTTCTTCGATTCCTCCACCCCCTCAGACTCCTTCAACCCCACCTCCTTGACCCCTGGCGAGCCTTTGATCTTTGCTACTCGCTTTGAGTCCTTAGGCTTCTTGGTTGGGCAGTCCTTCGCAAAGTGGTTTTCACCTGAGCACACGAAACAACGATTCTGCTTTTCCATGTTGTCCCAACTGTGCAAACAGGTGCACTGCTCACCTCTTCGACACCAAAACTTGCATGCTGCGCTTGGCCTTTCCTCCACCGCGGACGAGGTCTGAGGAGCCTTCACTGCCAATGCCTGAGTCCCTGAAGCTTGACCTCCATGTGCTGACCGTGGAAGGGCTTCCTGCCGAGATGATGTCCCTCCTCAACTGCTCGGGCAACACGCTGATCAACATAGCCACTCCTCGCTGCTCCACCCTGAGATGAAGTGGATCAACCCTAGTTTCAGCTGGGCGAAGTCTCAATCGGTCCAAAGGGGTTGCCACCAACCACTGTTCATACAGTCGTCTCGCTGCGGCCAAGCTATTCTCACACCACTGTTGAGAAGTCGCTGACAGGTCTGCCAACACCAACCAATCCCCAAACTGCAACGCTGAACCCTCAACTGCTGGATGAGGTAGTGCCGGCAACTCCAAGCTTCGAACTGTCTCTGGGACCGCAAGTGGATTGGTCTGTGGTTCACCCTTGGCTTTTGCTCCCATCAAACCTGGAGGAACTTCTAGGCCTGCGTCTACTCTGTTCGGCTTGTCATAGACTGGGCCCCGTTCACCCCCAGCACTTGTAACTGACTCAAATGAAGCCGAGTCACCTCCACCAGAGATCTTCCGAATCTCCTTGGCAAAGCGCTCCTCCGCTTCCCGCAGAACTCTTTCTCGAACTGCTTCAACTTCTTGCTGCGTCGGGCTCCTCCTATCTCCAGGTCGGGGTTGTTCCATCTCTAGACGACCCCCTGGTGCCTCTCTTCGACCGGGGTCACTCCAGAAGGGATTCACATTGCCCTGGCTCTGTTGCGGAGGTGTGGAAATGAAGTACGGGTCAAGAGCTCGAGGCCGTGGACCAACGTCACCACTTTGTCCAGTGTTTTCTCCCCCAGGATGCACTGGTAGTTGAGGCGACGACATCATGCCCATTTGCCCCCCATGAGGTGGTTCTTGAAAAAGTGGCCCCAAAAGGCTCTGTGATGGTGGAGGTGCCGTATAAGTTCCCGCCCCTTGTGCCGCTGGACCGAAAGCTCTCTGCAACACTTCTAGGGATTGCCGCACCGTCTCTGACCACCCATCCTGCCCTGTGGTTGACCTCCAACCATTGCCACCCTCTGGAGCCGAGGTTCGATCAGCTCGACTCCGATCCTGAGTTGCCGCCGAGGTGGATGAAGCCGCCTGCGCTCCATTGCGAGCATCCGCCGCCAGCCGCCGCACCGCTGCAGATCGAGGTGGCAAGGAGGCTGCCCTTGCCACTCTGGCTTCCTCTTCGAGGAGGGAGTCCAGCCGCTCTTCTGCCGCACCGACCCTGAGATTGCCAGGCCGGTCTTGAGGGTCCTTAAGCTTGTCGGGGCGGTCCCTCGAAGCTCGGCGCCTGCGGATGAAGTCGCTCATGGGAGCCAGCAACTCAAAAAAGAGGTGGTCTTCCTAGATCCCTTGGGCTCATAACCTGATGTTAGAGTCAAACCTAATCGCCCACGAACGGACATTTCTTGAGCCATGAGCGAAGTGCATGGTTATCATGCTGGTTTGAAAGCTGACATGGAAGTGTGGTGATTTCTTCACGACCACAGGAATATTCTAACTGCCGCTGGCAAATTCTAACTGCAGTGCTGGCTGGGATGTAATTTTCTATATTCTAACTGCGCTTTAAAAAAAGTGTATTCTAAGTGTCCGTCCATCATAGTATGTAACATACGACGAATCCGAGCTTGCTCGAAGTCTTCCAAAACTAATTTCTTGCGATGCACAAAAATACAAGCTGTATCAAACTTTTTCACTCGTGTCCGCCCTCTTTGTTGCATGCCATACCAGGTTGTTTGCCTCCAATTCCGAAAGATGAACGCTTGCAAAGTATGCAAAACACAAACAGCATCGAACGAGTGAACATAATGCTTTTGCCGGGCAGACTAAAGTGTTGGTGATTTCCTTTAGCCGACTCAGGCGAAGTTACTTGCGTTCACGGAGTCACCAAGTTATCTGAAGCAAAATGATTGAGGATTTCAACACAAACCTTTATTCAACTGTTCTATATATATAAATGAACATTTGAACAAATAGTTCACCAATCAATGTTCTGAACATTCAAATGCGTAGAGTGTCTTAGAAAAGAACAATTCCACACAAAAAGTCTCACGACAGGAGTAACACACAACCATGTGGCCTTTGCAAAGGCTTGCCGCGTCAAGAAGGTCATGGATGAACGATTCACCCATGCATAATTGGCAGCCGCCGACATGGCCTGCAAAACAACCACAACACCACACTCAGATCAAGCAAGCAGAAACACTTCGCAGCTTCAGTCACTCTAACATCATGAACAAAAAAACTATATCATTTCCAAGTCCTACATACACGTCCGGAACTGTTGCGATTTGGAAGATGGAATCCCTTCTCTGCCTTGAGGTAATGCTGACCCTCATCCTTAGCCGAAAGGAATTCAAGCCCTATGTGCCACAGATTTGTTGACTTTGTCGCAACTGACAACACCTGACTGGGACTTAGGTTGGAGGCCATCGTTCTTAGGTTGGAAGTGATTAGAAGTAGGTTGGAGGCCATCGCTCTTAGGTTGCCTAATTCTCAAAGCAACTTTAAGTTATTTTTGATGTGTTGTTGCTTAAACACTTTTTGGCGCCAAGGTCTAAGTCCGAGACTGCTGACAGGATGTGTTATGTTTTCTCTTATCCATTCGTAGGTTGTTAGGTCCAGTCTTTTATTTCGAAGCTGAAGTAAAACTTAAGACTTAAGACACGTGAAATAACAAAGTTATTGTGACGTCGCAGGGGGACAGGAAGAATCGACCTAACAACCTAGGATTTGTTACAAGACATTACAAGTCAATACAAGTCAGGTATGGCGTGACCTTACTTCACACTAAGCTTCAAAAGTATTGTGAAAAAAAACATCGCAAAAACAAAATGCAGTCCCCTCTCTTGTCACTCTTGCGCCATGCTCACTTCCCTCTTGGCAAGAGCTTCATGGCGCCTACAGGCGGGAAATACTTTTTCAAGGAGATAGGCTTTCTCCCACGGATGCGAAAAGCTCAAGTCTGACGTCTTGAGAAACGTCCCGTGGCTCGATTCCTCCAAGGGCTTTGGCAAGAGCTCTTGAGATACAAGATTCAAGCTGCGCAGGGCACGAGAAGGTTTCATTTGGAGCAGCCACCCTTGCTTAAATTTGGCCGCCTGTCTCCAGCTCATCTGTTACTGGTTTTGCTCTTCCCTGTGCATGTTTGGTCTAGTGGTGTGACCTCGGGTGCACGAGGTCCTGGGCCCCCTGGGCTCAATCCGACCATCGCCTCGTTTCTCTTTTCACGCCCTGAAAAGCTCAAATCGGGCGTCTTGAGAAACGTCCCGATTGACTCCTCCCACGTCATGTTCCACCTCTCACCCATGCCAGGTACAGGAGCCCGGCGTCTTGCAAACCAGCGTGAAATGAAAAAGAGCAAGGCCTGGTTTGCATGTGCTTGGCGTGGAAGTATTTAACAAAATGAACAGAAAGGACCACCCTTAATTCAGAAACTTATATAGGTCGAATTGTTAGGTGACGTCGGGTGACAACGCTATATTTCAGGCAAATGTGATATACGGACGGTTTATACACTACAGCATACACAAATCAATAGCGACTCCAACTATCAGAAAGCACTTTAGTCTGACATCGAACTGTTGAGCTTGGACACACAAGCAACTTCAGGTGACCAAGTCTATCAAAGTTCCGAAAAGCAAATAGCTAGAGTCCTTTGGGTCCATAGCTTAGTCGCAATGCACCAAAGATATACTGTAAAATATGCGTGCAATGCACATGTGCCGTTCAGTTCAGCTCTCAGTTCGGTCCGTTGAGATGCTCTGGTCTGTGCTTGCCTTTGCCGGTACTTGCACCATTGAACAAATGTTCATAATATATTATAGCAATGTGCAAGCCAGCTAGCCCAGTTTCAGACCTTATGGCTGATGGGCTTATGGCCGCAACCATGACTTTCCAGAGCAAAAAGCAACGTTCTCGGGTGTTCTTTCTGCGGTCCGCTCACCAAAACTGGGCGCGCCCTGAAGAACGCAGCTGTTTCGAAACAGGACCTTTAACGGGCACCAAGTAATGGAAATCGTACTTAAAGTATTGTCATAACATTTCATGGCTCATGCCTGCCCAGGTACCTTCAGTAATGTCGTTGTGGAACTTGCTCTCAGAGATTGGATAAATGTATATAGTTGTCCTATGTTGTCCTGCGCCATGTAAACTCTGCCAAAGCCGAAGGTTGATCCATGATAAGCTAATCATACTTTTAAGTATAATTTTGCTTCCAACGATAACCGTTCAATTGGGAGGTTGGGAGGAACGACCGACCTTCTGCGATCTGCTGTCTGCCTACAGGCTAAGTAATTGTCTCTGAATTATCATTTCTGCTACACTCGGACCAACTAACATGGAAATGGAAAATTGCTGCTGGGAAGATGAGGTTCCTCTAGAAAGAGGTAGTTTTCCACTTCTATGTTAGTGAGCCAAAGGGTATCTGCCTCCAGGATCCAGGATCTGTCTAATTCAGAAGTTTGTGCGTCCTCTTGACAGCTGGGGAGTGGAAACAACTGCACCAAGTCCATAAAGAGCAGACTGGTCCACACACCTTCTGGAGACATGACAATCGACAACCCTGTTGTTCACCAGCACAAGTAGAGCTCGGACACCGTGAAAACAAGTCCCTCGAGACATGCACACAAACAGGATGCTGACAGCAAATCCTTGCAACTCCTTGGATGTCCTTGGCCCAAGTCCTCAAATGGTAGTGCGTAAAGCAGCAACGCTTATATAGTATAATACAATATTGATATATTTGCTACTAGTAGCTAGAAGCTAGTAGGTTGGAGGCCATCGCTACTAGCTAGAAGCTACTAGTAACAGCTTTGTAGTCTGTTTGTAAGGCCCTTAGGCAGCCCGGCAGAGTGAATTCGCGCGCATGCGAGCTGCCGGTCGTTCGTCCGGATGTTATCTCTCGTCCTCGCAGCAAGGCCGAAAAATCCGGCTTGCGTTGCAAAACTGAAGCTGGCCATAGATAAAGCTTTGGTACAAATAGAATTGAATATCATGAAGCTACGTATTGAACCTCATGAGAAGTGTCTGTGCAAATCTAGTTTCTGAGGCATATTGGCATTTGAACGACCAAAGACATGTTATGCTGCTCACTTGATTTTGTCTGGAAAAAAAGGAAGCAAGCTAGTGAGAAGAAACTGGATACTTTGTGTTGGGTCATTCTCTGCTTAGAACACCTTCCTGTCTTTTGGTCCGCGAAACAAACACTTGAGGGTCATGGGAGCATTTCACACACCAGCTGACAAGTGTGCCGACATCTGTCCTGGAGAGAAGAACACACCAATCGGACAAACCCAAGACCAATCCGAGAAATTGAAAGCGTGCATTTAATGAACTTGAGTTGTTTTTGTTAATATCACGTGGTGCCAATCATACCGATATACTTCCATGCGATGTGCTGTTATATCACAACACCTTCTATAGCGTGCAAACAAATTGTCTTCAAAGCCAAACATTCTTTTTGTTTCTCGAAAGTCCTAGAAAAACAAATACTAACAAAGGGGCCTCATTAAGGGGGGGACCGTACTTTCCTTTTTAACTATATATGTAATATAAATATATTATATATAAATATACATATATATATATGGTGGTTGATCAATATTCTTTCATCCTGGAATGGCCATTCATCGCGGAAAAAAAGATATCTTTCGCGGATCTTTCGCGGCCTCATCGCGAAGCATGGTCCTACAACCATGTCTAGCTAACATGAGCCGGAACATGTCATAGTATCACAAAATAGGGAGAGACATCTTGCAGCATGACCCCAGTAGATGGTTAAACGTTTCCACAGCTACTCAGGGTCACTTGCAGCATCTGTGCGACAATTGTGCCAAATAGAGTCAGGCACAACTCAACCCAATCCTCGTGTCAGCTACCAACACAGGGTGATGCAGCTTGGGGAATGTTGGGGGGGCCTCAAGCTGGGAACCTGGACTTTAGCGGCACATTCGCGAAACTTTCACGGATCTTTCGCGAAATTTCACTGGTGCTTTCCCCGGGCACGGACATGTTGAGGCTTCAATTCGTTAGTCTGTGACATATGGGGACACTTCCGCCCACTGGCTCTTTGTCAGTCCGGTAGAAAGGGAAACAATGAAAGCGATGACCTTCGATAAATCTTTCGCGGAAAAAACATATACTTTCGCGCACCTCATCGCGAATCTTTCGCGGATGGTTCTAACAACATCTGACAGTCTGAAAGGTTGTTTTATATAAAACTCATTACACGGGGTTTTCGATCAACTCCCATATATACACACACATGTTTTTCTATGTTTTAGCTCCATTGGGTGGAACAGTAATCGCAGAACCATGGCAGCTAGGCTCCCAGACATGGCACGTTCCATGTCTACGAGTGCATCAGTGGCCACCTTGCAAGTTCGGCAAGCCATGTTGCTTGAAGACGATTGTGAGAACGGCATGCAACAACACTGAACACCCCAGGACTTCAACAGCTGTCGGCAATTGGATCGATGTGAATACGGCAGGACATGCTTGGACAACATGAAAACTTCTAACGACTTCAACCACCACTTTGGAACATAAAAATAATGGACCAAGGTGGTTGGTCAAACAGTCCGTGCATCTCATGGTTTGCATGGCCTGGTGTCCCAAACCACGGCTGCCTGAATGGATCATGACCTCAGAATGCACATAGGATTAAACAGGAAAGGGTTACCGAACTGAAGAAAGTTGGAAGTTTTTCGAATGTACAATAACAAGCTTCGACGGGGCGGAGCAAAATGGAGCATAATATGAAACCACTTGAGATCCAAGGATTGCAAATTTCTGCAGCCAAAGGAGCGCAAACCTGTCCTTTCTGGTCGATGCCCATTTTTTTTGCGACAAATTCGTCATAAATCTCGTCCACAACCTGCCATAAGTTTTGATTTTGTCAAAGCTCATTCTCATTGGGCACACATATCTTTGTTGTTCCACAAGCACCCAGCAGCAACAGGATGATTGACACATCGAATCATGCCATAGGACATGTAAACTAGATCAATTATGATACAGTGAGCATTCATAAACAACCGTCATGGTTGAAGTGGCCTGGCTTCGTGTCGTGTTTGGAAATGACACTTCGAGTGGCTTGTGGTTGCCGTGAAGAGTGTATGATTTTCAGTGGGTTTGTTGAAGTTGAGTGTTTGCATGTTCTGGGTTCTGTTCTTCCCCCTGGTTTGTTGCTTGCTCAATTTGGGAGAAACGCTGACCAGATCACGAGGCGCTAGTGGCAATACTGGGTAGTTGAGCTTTTGTTTCTCTTGCCATATATACTTTGGGGCCTTTGCGGATATTTTGCCATATTGATCCTGATTGCTGAAGCTAGTCATGACTTAGTTTCTCAATATGACACCTCCAATTTGACAGCCAGCAGCATGGACATGGCCTTTACCTGAAAGGATCATTCTGGACCTCCTATCTAGATTGTGGAGACTTAACGTGCGTTTATTTTTTGCAAGTGGTTGTGCTTTCAGTTCGGTTGTAATTTTGGGACTGACACATCCTACACCCCCTGGGTAAGTTAAAATCGTGACTGTGGTGGCTTCCCCGCAAAATGCATTACAGAATGTTGTGCGCACACTTCTTGATCCATAAGGTTACCAAGCCAGGTAATCTCTGACTTTGATCACTGGATCACACCCTCTGTTTTAAGGCTTTCAATCCTGCCTGAATTTCTGCATAGTGATTGCCGGCGCCAAGAGTGCCAAGCTGAGGCAACCCTCGCCTCGGAGAGGGATGACAAAGGCTTTGCTACGCGATGGCGGTTTGGCACCCATTTCTTCAATTGGAGTTCGGTCCTTAGAATTTCATAGAATGCCGCTCACCGCTCACCCTTTGCCTGTCCATGTCTAGCAATGGCAACTCTTTAACAAATCCGACAAACTCTGTGAGCCCTTTCAGCTTCCGGCTTTTTCGCTCTGCTCGAGACCTTTCCGGGATCGGCATTCAACATGCGACCGTACCTGAGCAATCTGTGAGTCCTTGCCATGCATGGCCTCGCAACAGCACTGTGCAGCCATGCACCCATGCCCAAGTCTCAATCCTTCGTTCCTAAGCAGCCATGAGTCTAAACCCCGTGGAGACCCCTGTGGTCTCCTTACCACCGTATCAGCCCGCAAAGTCTTAAAGTCTTTTGTGGTGGCTGGGGCCCACAACTCTTCGCAATGTTCTTTGTCTTCAGGCCAGGCATATCCTGCTGCTGCCCCCCCAGCTTGCAGGATTGGCACTTGTCACTGATACTGAGCCCAACTTGAATGACTGCGCTTGGCAATGTTCACCCTTGTCACTGACTTGTCAGGAAGAAGCAACTATCCAAGAGTTTTCTGAACAAGAAGTCCGCGAATTCATGGCTGGTTTGCTGTGTTTGTCGACTCTAGTGGATGGCCAAATGAGAGATTCTCAGCGCTGCTGCCCACCTTCCCGCAAAGAATAGTCTATACCGATCTGCAAGGCCTGAGCTTCCAAGGGCTTTGGTTGACAAAGAGCATTCACAATAAAGCGCGTTCACACAGCAACTGAGAGCAGCTGATGACTGCTTCTTATGTTTTCCCATTCTAGCAGCACATCAGCCCCTTTACACATGTTTATCTTCATTGGAATTTGTCGCCATTACATTAACTACTGGAAACAGCCACTTCACAGTGGGTGGAAACCATTTGTTTTGGGATTCAACACAAACAAGTATATGCAGCACTTCGTCTTTGATTGTTTTTGTATGTAACTGTTCTTGTCATCTTTAGTTTGTAGGCCATGCACGACAGCAGCACCTTTCAACATGTCCCTATGCAAAGCTGTAATATTTTTCTTCTGGATAACTTCAGTCGAAGGACCACGGGCAAAATCCACGCCAAATGTAGATGCTTTAGCATCTTGAAGCTCTTTGTTCGTCTAACTGCAAGATGTGATCGAATCTGACTACGCATCTCATTCAAATATGTCTCTTCCCTTCCAAACTCTCGTGCCTCCTCGAGGTCTTGTTCCTTCGTGGGGATGATGCCCATTGAACCAACACCTCAACAGGCGGAATTGCTTCAACTTCTTTGGTGGCTCAAGCCCAAACGGCACGCTTTCAATGCCAAATTCTGCTAGGCTGGCCTTGGGCAAGGAGAGTGGATCCAACTATATATATATATTTATATTTCCGTCTATACTGTATGTAAACTCATGTAAACTCTTACTATGGTCCTTTCAAGGCCTCAAGAAATCCTTGCGGTCCTTTGGGTGAATGGATTCTGTGGGGGGATCCAGTGTGATCGTGTGATCTAACCTCGTTTGATTCTGGTATGAATGCACACTCAGCAAAGGTTTAAACAGTGATGGCCGCTCATTCGCTCCAACAAAGTGCTAACCGTAACCTAGGGGCTCCTGGCATCGCTACTAGGAGCAAGGACGCTACTAGGGGCTCCTGGCCTTACTACTAGGAACAAAAAGCTACTAGGGGCTCCTGGCATCGCTACTACGAGCAAGGAATAGTGTCATTAACTTCATCCGTGCCCTCGCCGTGCTTCGTCATGGACAAATCAACAGTGTGACGTGACTGTGCAGTTTCTGAGTTCACGGCCGACGGGTATGTGGTCAAAGAGCGACTGCGCCAAGGTCTCCTAAATGCAAAGAAAGGCATAGATGGCATGCTATACCCACCAAGTCTCATCAAACCTGATTCACTTGACACCAAATGATGTGTGAGATGCGTCTGTGAGATGTGTGGCATACAAGGAGCCTTGCCTTGTGATATGTGATTGTCAAAGCTGTGTCGCAAAATTGATTGAGTAAAGATCGTGACTTCGGTTGACTCTGCAGATGTGCTGACAGGGGGAAAGCTGGATCGTTCAATTTATATCTCTAGAGCCTGAAGTGAAGTGCAATATATTGGGCTTCAATGCAAATCAAATGCAATCTGGATGTATATTTGGGGGAAGGCCGAAACTTACTTACACAAGAATTATAGAATTCTCGTTCTGGTGGCCAACAAGTCTAGACATGGCCCAAATCCGGTGAATATGCCCAACAAGCTGGGAATGGCCAAAGCACCTAAAATACAAAGTGTATATGTACATATATTATTCATGTACAGTCATCGCGACAGATTTAGCATCTGAGAATACACATCACGCAAAGGAGTATTCTTGACGTGTCAAGAAAATATGTGTAAATACATATAAATTACTAGTAGCTCCTGGCATTACTACTAGGAACAAATGGCTACTGGGGTGGAGGCCATGGCAATTAGGTTGGGGGCCATTCCTAGTAATGACACGAAGCTACTAGGTTGGAGGCCATCACTATTAGGTGGAGGCCATCGCTAGAGGTTTAGAGGCCATTACTACTAGAAACAAGAAGCTACTAGGGTGGAGGCCACCGCTATTCAGTTGGAGGCCATGACTACTAGTAACAAGAAGCTACTAGGTAAGAGGCAATGGCTATTAGGGTGGAGGCCATTACTACTTGTAACAAGAAGCTACTAGGTTGGAGGCCATCGCTATTAGATTGGAGGCCAATACTACTAGTAACAAGAAGCTACTAGGTTGGAGGCAATCGCTATTAGGTTGGATGCCATCGCTATTAGGTTGAATGCCATTACTACTAGTATCAAGAAGCTACTAGGTTGGAGGCCATCGCTATTCCGGTGGAGGCCATCACTACTAGTAACAAGAAGCTACTAGGGTGGAGGCCATCGCTATTGGTTTAGAGGCCATTAGTACTAGTAACAAGAAGCTACTAGGTTGGAGGCAATCGCTATTAGGGTGGAGGCCATTACTACTTGTAACTATCACTCGCAGCGGACGATCACCGTGAAACGGTGTCCGCTTTGTGCAGGACACGCAGGTCTTTGCACAGATATTTCCCCAAAAAGATCGGCATGCAGTTGACCATTAAAAGAGGGGGAGCTTCCAGGAGTCCAGGGTTCGCCCGGCTCCGGCCGCAAAAAGCCTAGCAAGGGTAACTCTCTTGGTGTCATCAAACCAAGGAGCAGCGCTAACTATACATCCTTGGGGGAGGACTCGCCCACAACATCTTGGCTTAGTGCTGCGGAAATGTCCCGGATGGCAGTCGACAGCTTCATTGTTGGAAAGATGCAACAGCGTCTCACGAAGCAGTTTGTATATGTCGTGGTATGTGGTGAGTTCAAGATCACGATCAAGTTTGAATCCATCATCATGAAAGGCGATAGCCAGCTCATGAAATGACACGGACAAATCCTTGCCAGTGCGCCAGCGCAGGCTGCGCAGGAACCGGCAGCACGTTTTCCAGTCAAGATCATTGCTAGTCCAGCTGGAGGGACACGGGACAATGTTGGGAATCTTCGGGCGCCACCTGAATTGTTGTATTTCGGAGCCCCAGGGCCACTGTGGAAATCTGTTCTGGCATTCCGTCTGGGATACACAGTCATGTTGTAGACTCTCTTCAATGCATATAGCCCGGTCAGGTTGGTATGTGGGCAACATGGCATGCAGACGCGTCAGCCACAGCTGGTGAACTTTGATCGCTTTTGTGGCTTCTTTTTGCACATCAGCATAGACACAGGCAGTGTTGGAAGCACACTCCTTAGCTGCTGCGTCTGCCAGTCGATTGTGCAAAATGTGCTCAAGTGTGGTGCCGCGAAGGGCCGCCAGTTCCTCGCTAAGCAAGTCGACGGGGATGCCCTCGAAGCAGTGCGCTGGGATCCAAATAATTCTGAACGGAGGATCGCGGACAGCTCTTCTAATCTGGGTCAGTCTCCGTAAGAACAGCCACCAAGGAAAGCACGCCCAGTTGTCTTCAGGCAGACCACCCTGAAAAACTTTGTGAGCCTGTTCGACAACCGTAAGGCAGTCGCAATAGATAGTGGCAGGGAAAGAAGCTTGTGCGCAAGCACTGATGACCCCCCACAGTTCAGCAACATAGGCTGAAATGTTCCAGTGAAAAACAGGACCGCAATGTCTGATCGTTCTTGTCTCATCAAGTACTGCACAGGCCGCGCTGGTCAGCCAAAAAGTATCCGCATAACATACGGAACCATCCGTCCAAAAACGCTCTTCGTGGCTTGCAGAAAAAAGAGTCAGCAATGGAGAGGTCCTCGATGTTAGAGAATCTAAGCCTCTGGCGGGCGACTGCTGTCGGGTGTGTGACATGACCAAGCGCAGCAAAATTTGCTCCAAATTCATGAAGCACGGGAGGACCAAGCAGCTCATGCACGTGACTGCATTCCAGCAAGTGCATCATACACTCTTTGGCTTGGCCGCAGAATCTGCAGGTGGCTGAAGTCACCCAACCTGAGGCAGCGAGCCGGTCGTTGGTGAGAGTGCAGCCAACTAGAATGTTCTGAATACGAAATTCCAGCTCACGATCCGATTCTTGGTTTTTCTTTACTTGTCGCAGGAGCTTGGTGGTTTGCTGAAAGTCAAAAACCCCCGAAGGTTTGAGAAAATCTTTGCGGGATCTTGGGTCAATCGAGCAATAGCATGCATGTCTGGCAATATTCTGGAGGGCCTTAGACAAACACTTGGGTGACAGCTCGGTGAACTGAACAGGGGATCCCCCACAAAACGCAATGCGAAGCTCGGGATCATGTTGAATTTCAAGTGTTTCAAACGCCCTCTGAAGTGTGCTGGCCAGGCAGTGATTGCCAACTGGGTTTTTCCAGGTGGCAGCTAGTTGTTGGGCAGCACGGTCTGAGTGCCTGCATAACCTAGCAACTTCAATGATCGTGTTATATGCATCGGCATATTGTGGATCTGTGCGGTGAGGCTTCGAAAGCAAGCGTTGGAGTAATTGTTTAGATCTCCACATGGGTTGGCCGACCCACAAGGCTTTGGCAATGGCATTTCTGAGGGCTTTGGAGGCTTGTTGTGGGATCTTAGAACAATGAGCCCCAAAAGTGATTTGGGGAATAACCTTCGAACCAACAAGAAAACTGCGAACAGATCTGCTCACGGGTAGAGCTGCAATATTGTCGATGTCGGCCAAGATTTTTCTCAGTTTGGAGTCCTGCAGGAATCCGAAATTCGATCTTTCCGAAGTGTAAATCTTTGTACCGAGAACATCAAGCTCCAGCACGATCGGAAACCCCGGAAAAGCACATTTGATTTGTTTGCGGGCGTGCGTGTCGGTACCCCAAAGTGAGGATTTCCCCTCATTTAGCTTTTGGCCGCTAAGGAGGTCCCAGACTTTAGTGGCTTCGATGGCCTTCTAAGAAGGTGGACATTGCATATCTTGCACCACAAATACGAGTCGTCAATATAAGCCCTCACGAAAATTTCAGGGAGGTGGTCGAGAAGGTGACACCAAACCTTGTGTAGGCATTCATGTCTAACAGTGAGAGCGAACAGCCCTGGCAGACACCATTGGGGGCGGTCGTTGACACTGGTGAAGTCCAATTTCTATAGGACAGGTGTCTGTGAAGACCATCATAAATTTTCACAAAGAAAGAGACGAAGCCCGTAGGGAGCCCGAATGCGAGGAAGAGTGCCGCCACGAAGTGTGGTATGATTCTGTCGAAGGCCTTGGCTTTGTCAATTTTGATGCCTATGAGGGCATCATTCTGGTGCTTGGCTTCGTCAATATCTAGTCTCAGTTGATTAAAAAGGTCAGACATGTGTCTACCTTTAATACCACCAAGGATGCTGGATGGCATTATGGCTTTTTGCCAGTCTTGCAATTGGGCAAACCTAGCGCCTGTATATGCTAGGAGCAACGCTGGTAGGATGGTGATGAGTCTCTTGTTTAATGGCGCAGCAGGGCCTGGCTTGTTAAGGATAACCTGCTTGGCGCAGACAAGCGACTTCGGAAGAGGCAAGTTGGAGGACTCAATGGCGTCGAAGAAATCAGCGCACGGCTGGAGTTCCGAGGCGGAGAATCGCTGCAGCTCAGTGGTGCGCCATCCGTCTAAGCCGGGAGCGGCATTTGTTTTTCGCTCCTGAAGGATGTTGAACAAATCGATGCCGGAAATCTTGGGTAGTTCAACCTCAAGCCGCTGGTCATGAATGTATGGCCACACAGTGTCGAGCATCTTAAGGGGGTGGTGCCGAAGGACGTTCGCACTGTAGACTTGGTCCCATTCACTGTTGAGGTAGGAGAGGGCCTGATCAGGTTGATATATGATATTCTGATCCTGATCTACAACGAGATTAGCCGGCTCGTCTTGTTGCTTATTCTTGAGATGATGGAAAATGTATGCACAGCCGTGTGAAGCGGAGCGACGGATGCGATCCTGCCAGTTTTGGATTCGTTTCAACTTGACGGCAAGTTCATGGGACTTGAGGGACTGTTCAGCCCAGCTTTTAGCATAAAAGACCTCAACCAGGCTCGGAATCCTGTGGTGAACCCAACAGACCGGAGACCTCAAACGATGCAGTTGACTTCTGACTTTGCTTGCGGTCGAGAAGGTAATGAACTCGTCTTGAGCCGATCCTTCCGGTTTGGAAAGCCGAATAAAAAGTTCCGAGAGTCTGCCAATCAAACGAGCTAGCTGCAAGCCGTGAAAATTGGCAGCACAGTGAGAGGCCATTTGCTTGGGCGCAATAATCTTGGAGACAAAAGTGGGTTTACCTGCCCTTTCTCGAGGGCCATCCCCCCAGGAAGCCCCTTTTGCAATCAAAGTGTGTTGAAGGAAATCATTGAC